TCCGTGAATATTGTAGCTGTCTTTGGTGACGTTTCACCTCACAAACATACGTAATCTGGAGTAGTTAAATTGTCATAATGTGTCATCATTTTTGTTTGTTTACATTAGATTTGTAAAATAATTATTGTCCTACAACTGTTTGCAATGAAGTAAAAAATTCAGCTGCAAGCACAGTGACGAAATAATATATTGTAACTTAAAGAAAATAAAGAAATATTGCTTCAGATTGTGTATCTAACCTTGAACACTAAGATCAATATTTCTGTTGTAAAAGTGATAGGTTCTCTTTGATTACAGGTTTAAGTAATTTGTCAAAGTTGCATAAAGTCATGAGAGCTCTTCGAATTCACAAATTTGGTGGTCCCGATAACCTCAAATTAGAGAATGTTCCAATCCCATCGGTTGGCGACTCAGAAGTTTTGGTTTGTGTGAATGCTGCTGGTATAAATCCAGTTGACACTTACATCAGAGAGGGAGCATATGCTGCTTTACCCAAATTACCAGCAATATTGGGAAGAGAAGTAGCAGGAATAGTGGAAGAAGTTGGAGAGGGTGTGAAGAGTATGAAGGTATTTAAAATAAGATAAATTTTGTTAGCAGCATATTGAATATAATATTGTTTGATGTTGACATTTTTTCAGTTATACAATTTTATTGCAGTTTCCCTCCCCCCTCTGATTTGGAATCCCATTATCCAACACACACACACACACACACATATATATATCCTGCATCTGCCTCAGCTACATAGGTCAGTATTTTAGATACCAACTGACTAAGTTTTGTGAAGGTATATCAGTATCAAGCCTCTGGATATCTTCATACCTTTGTTTACCTTTTAAAACTCCATCACCAATATCTGTCCCATTTTAAAACTGGGTGATAGCAGTAAAATTGGAAATGTGTGCTATTGTAAAAGTACACAAACACATTTTCTAACGTCACATATTCAGCCATGTTCAAAAGTGAAATCCAGCATGGGTTCTTCCTTCACAGATCAACAAGTTTAATTATCTTTTGTCAGAATATATGTAATGTATTTCATAACAGTATGCATATCAGTGCCATCTGTATCAGCTTTGCAAAGATGTTTGATCAAATTAATCATAGCATGCTATTAAAACCTTCCACTTTTTGGTTTCTCATCAAAAGTACTAAAATTTGTTGCCTTCTATTGTAATTAGAGGAAACAACATGTAATGTATTGCATTGCCAGTATGAATTATTTTCAAATATTTACAGTTCAGGAGTACCCCAAGTTTATAACCTGAGTCCCTTGGTCTTCTTACTGTATATTAATTAATAATTTGCCTGCCACAGTTATACATTCAGGTTGTCATCTTCAGATGATGTAAAGCTTTGTAATTAAATTGACACAGAAAAAGTTATTTTTAATTATTTATTAAATTAAAACAGGTCATAAATATGGTATATAAGTTGAGTATGAATAATTATCTTGGATTTAATATTAAAAAGTATGATTTGTTAGTACTAACCAGCACAAAATCTACTGAAGAGTTTGTATTAGCTATAGCTGCTCGGTGATAGGCACTTGATTACTAGGTAGGCACTTGATTCTTCTCTGGGTGTTAACAGCGTGTAACTACCGACAACTAGAGACTGTTGCTATTGCTGAATAATTTATATTATGCACAATGATGCTCCTTTATTTAATTAAATTGTAAATACATGGAGAAACACTCTACAGATGTTACCTTGACTCTAGTTGTAAGAAGATGAATGTAGTTAAAATTTAGAATTTGTTGCAGACTCGAATATTATGCGTCTGTCACTAATTTAAGTTTGTTGCAGAATGTCAAACCAACACGCTGCTCGAAGCGTCATGTGCCTGGTTTGAAACATTCAAATGAGTGACATAGTCACTTACATACAGCTCTGGTCTCAAATTGGCTCTTTCAAAGTTTCTCCCTCACACTCCTTAATGTGTATGGTCCAGTAACATTCGTCTGCTGTGCAACATTGAACCATAATGTCCAAACTGACTTTTGGCATGCTGTAGCCATAAATGCCATGCAAGTTATTACCCATTAGTGTCAAAACCAAGGTCATTACACATCTCTGTCTTAAACACTTAGATAGATGCAATGAAATGGAAGTATCCATCCCAGTATTACACTCCAAACACCTCACAAAGTTACAGTTTTGAAAAGAAACTAAAATAAATTCATATGAATAAAATAATAACAAATTAAATTTTATGATTAAATGTACCTCAGCAGAAGATGTAATTTGGACCATTAGAACATACTAGACAGAGTAGAATCAATCAAGGACCTCTGTATTGTCATTATTTTATGTCTTTCCATGTACACATTATAAATATAGTGAATGATGCATATGAGAGGTTGGGCTTTATAATGAGAAACTCAAAACATCTAAATGATATGTATGTCCTTTGTCTTTTGTTTAATATAGTAGTAAGGAACAAACTTGTTTATAGATTGATCATTTGGTCTCAGAATAAAATAGAACAAATACAGAAGAGGTTATTAAGATATGTATTTTATAAGAAATATCATATCTGCCTACCAAAATAAAGTATCATACATAAAGTTATTGAAAAAAATTTAATTGTGTAAGTTTAACAAGTACGCATGATAACACTGAACAGGTTTTTCTTTGTATAACTATAAATGGAGTTTCAGGTTATTGAATTCCTTCAGCAGTTAAATTCTGATACCAGGAAAGGTAACGTATGTACCCAACGTCTCTTCTCTTACCACAACTCAAATACATTTGATGTTCAAGAACTTTCCATTACCTAGGGTTTATAAAGCATTGAAATATCCAAATTTTGATTGCATTCAGTCAGTTGTTCAATATTTAAAGTTACTGAAGTATATTTTTATGTCCTAAAACTTATGTAAGTTGAGGATAACTGATTTGTATGACAAGATGTTATTTTTTTAATAAGTGAACAGCTGTCATAGTTTGTTTAGTGTTGTTAGTTATATATAGAAACAGCAGTCTCACATTGCTTTTTGTGTGTTGTATTGAAAAATATGTAATTATTATTTTTGGTTCCTTTTTTATAGACCATGCATGTCTTGTATTATGTTGTATAAGCTTTTCTCTGTTCTAGGCGTATTAGTAAACAAATTAACATGGTAGCAGTACACTTTTGATGCATGGCTATAGCTTCACGTATGGTGGGAATGGCGCTTCAGATTGGAAATGTTCTGGATTGTTACTTGCTTTGAAAGGTTATCCAGAACTTTTTTTTCCAGAAAGGAGATCGCGTATTTGCCTTGCTGACCGAGAATGGTGGTTATGCTGAATATGTTGCTTGTGAAGAAGAAAATGTGTACCCTCTGTCAGAGAAACTGACGTTTAGCCAAGGAAGCGGTCTGTACATCCCCTACTTTACAGCCTATAGAGCGCTGGTTACAAAGTAAGCCTACGTTTAATTTCTCTACTTACGCATGTTCTTTACAGTTTTCTCTTAAATTTAATGTGACAGTTAATTATGTTTCTCCTCACCTCCATGTGGAAGTACCATTTTTACCTGCACTTAAGATGTTATTTTTTACCAACTTTTGTATTGGGTGTCTTCAACTGAGTTATGTTGTGGACGAACTGGCACTAGAACAGGTTTCTCCCCAGGTCTGCCGATTATCATTTTTCTATTCCTTTATATTCATTTTCATTTTTAAAGATTATCTGGGAAAATATATTTCCCAACCAACTTGAATAATCGGGAGTCTACCGTATACAGAATTGTAATATTATCTGTTGTATGAGTGTGAAACTTGACCTCTCATACTAAGGGAAGAACACAGATTGAGGGTGTTCGAGAATATTGTGCTTAGGAGAATATCTGGACTTGAGATGGATGAAATGACAGGAGGTAGATACAGTGTAAGACTGTAACCTTGAGACTTGCAGGGTGAAGGAGGCAAAGATAGCGTCAGCCTTTAACGCTACGGACTTCTTGCATTCCCTGCAAGTCTCAAGATTACAGTCACATGCTGTAGTTACATGAAACACTCCATAATTTGTACTCTTATCCAAATATTAGTATGGTCAAATCAAGGAGGATGGGTTTGGCAGGGTAAGTAGCGTGCTTCGGAGAGATGCGAAATATGTACACACTGTGAAGGATTGCGGGATAATATTAACATTAGGAAGGAAGTAGGTAGGATGTTTGAACTGGATTCATCTGGCTCAGGATAGGAACTGAACATGGTAATGAACCTTAGATACATGTTAGTAAATCCTTATTGTTGTTGTTGCTCCAGGATTTGTTAATATGTGACTTGCTTTCATTGCTGTAATGTTTACAGTTTCACAAGTTCGAAATTATTTCTGTCATAAAACTGTACCAAAACTACCCTGTTACTTTTTGTAGCGTTTATCCATTCTTACATCCTAGATGTTTAAGAAATTTTCAGATAGGTTTATTGCCCTCCGAAGATCAGTTCATCAAGTTTAATTCCTAAACTCAACACATTTTGCACCCCTTTATTGACTCTCTGCTAACTGTTACTGCTTTCACACATTTTTATCTGGTGTTTAAAAGTAAGAGCTACCTTTCCTATCATTATTCTTTCATCTTTTAAATTTTATTTACAGTACATAGAGACATTCCACTTGTTTGTGTAGCTCTTTTGTGCTCCTGTTGGAAAGGAAATGTAAATTGTCTCGTGTTAGATTCATATTCCTCGAACCTGACCACATTATAAATGACCCCTCTTATTTGGTCGTGGTTTCGTATCTGTTAGTTCTGGCTACAGAAGGCATCTTTGTCATTAATTTACAAAAGTAAAAGTTTCAGTAAAATACTAAACAAATTCAGGATATAGATTCATTATGCCTCAGCAGGGTCCATGTTATGCTTTTAATGCAATGCATTGTTATGACTGGTCTGTGATATATGCATTTACACACTTGTTTGTTTGTTGCATGAACCAGTACTGTTCTGATGAGTAACAGTGGGAGATGGTGTGGTGGTGGTGAAGTCGATGTTAATTCCAACCCAGAGGACCAAGTTCATACAAAATTTAATTAACTATTTTTGTGGCATTGAATGAAATTATTGGTCATATCAGTTCAGTCTTTCTAAATAGAATCACTGTTGTTCGACTCTCTTACACTCAGCAGATTTTAAGGAATGCATCAGTACATTAGTTATTTACAGATTTTACATCAGCATGTGATTCAGTTAGGAAAAGCCAGAAAACATTTTTAGTCTTATAAAATTTCCATCAGTATATCAGATTATAATACCATAAAGAATAACAAAAATTATTTTGCAAGTTAACAAAGACATTTGTCAAATAGTAAAAATAAATGCACTGAATGATTGACACTTCTGCATCATATTCAGGAGACCCCTGGTTCAAATCTCAGCCTGGAGACTGACTATTCTCGGCCTTCCCGGTGGTCTGTTTCCTTCTGGTTTGCTCACCAAAGTCCTGCGTGCATTCCTCCTTTCTCCCATGTGGGCTACGTGCCCTACCCATCTCATCCTCTTTGACTTGATCAGTCTAATTGTATAATACGTAAAGTACAACTTATGAATCTCCTCATTATGTAACTTTCTCCAGCCTGCTAGTAATTTATCCCTATAAGTCAAAATAATGTCCTCAGCACTCCCTTAGTGTTCGACACCAAGTTTCACAGCCATACAAAACTACAGGAAAAATTATAGTTTTGTATATTTTAATCTTTACATTTTTAGGTTTAGGTAGCAGATGAAAGATGAAAGGTTCTGAACGGAATGGCAGCAAGCGTTACCCACATTCTCAAATTTTGATTTGTTATGGTTACTCCCAAATATCTGAACGTAGCCACACTTTCAAATGATCTGTAATGTTATGAGGTTGAGTCTGGTTACAATTTGTGAGGGTAGCAAAGCCTTTCCCGATCGCTGCGCAGAATCGTTTCCCTAAGCCTAGGCACTTCTGGAGTTCGCTCCTAGTCCAGGATATAGGGAACAAGTCGTCAAATCCTAGCTGAAGAATGTAGAGGCAGCAGTTTCACACACACACACACACACACACACACACTCATTTATTGTCTTACAAACTAGGCCTTATAATTTACAAAGAGGAAAGATACAATATAAATAAAGTAAAATATATAATATAATTCAGGTCTATACACAAACTTTATTTACAGATGTTAAAATTTAAAATTTGCGCTATTCGTTGTTACTACGATGTTACAATACTGCGCACAACTTGCATTGTAATATAAAGTAGTTTTAAAGGAAAACCTGAAGATGATGCTACGCATCGAAACATGTAGTAAATGAAGGCGCAGTATTGTAACATTGTAGTAACTATGAATAGCGCAAATTTTAAATTTTAACATCTGTAAATAAAGTTTGTGTATAGACCTGAATTATATTATATATTTTAATTATAAAACACAAACATGACTCATTTAAACTTTAAAAATAAATAAAGTAGTTTAAATGCCTGGGGCTTGCTATCTATAAAGATGACACTTGTGCATGCAGTTCTCTACCCTAAAACTGTTTTGATGTTCTTAATTGTAAAATAGTTCGGAGCCTTCTCACCACTAACGGAGCCAGAAGTTGTACACATTCAGTACCTTCGCTTTGCCTGCTCAATTTAGTAAATCCCGTCTTAGTTTTTGGCAAACAAATTCGGACATTCCGTGGCTTGCCTGTAAATGACTATGCTTAGCCATTGCCATGACGTTGGTAGTGGTGTTTTACATCCACCCAGTTTGGATGTCAAGAATCAACTGCCCTCTCCTCCTGTTTTTGTTAAATCATGATTTTAATTGCAACAATCTGAACCACCGAGTTTTCTCCAGGGAAAACTGCCAAGTGCATGATTAGGTAAGCGAGTTAGGAAACTAACTTTATTCCATGTGGAAACAAAGCATTGGGTGATCCATGAGAACTGCCTGCTATCCACATGCATCTCACTACGTCTAATAGAAGTATGCTCCGTAGAAACATGAGTCAAAACACTACAGATCGATCAGCTATCTTTGTGTTATGATTTTGCCCTGCATTCTGGTGACGAGACGAAACATATACTTAGTTTTCTCTGTGTTTACTTCTAGACCAACCTCCTTACTAGCTTCTGTGTTTTTCTTTATGCTACTTTTGTTATCACCCAATAGATTTACATCAGCATAGACTGAAAGATGATGTGTCCCATTCAGTTTCAGTCCGACCTGATTTGCTTGTACCTTCCTAATAATATATTCTAAAGCAAAGTTTAAGAGCAATGACAATGGAGCATCTCCTTATTTCAGACCATTTTGAATAGGAAACGCGTCAGGCAAATGTTTACCTATATGGACTTTACTATAGGTTTCATTTGAACAGATTTCTATAAGCTGAACTAGTTTCATGGGTATTCCAAAACTCAATGAGAATATTGTAAAATACTGCCCTTCTTTCTTGAAGTCTATGAACAGCTGATGTACTGTCTCATTCTTTTCAAATGTTTTATCTATTATCTGATGAATACAAAAAAAGTTTGATCAGTAGTTGACATATTACGTCGAAACCCACACTGATTTTGTCTACGTATAAACTTAACTGTGAGGGGAGGATGTTGGATAGCATTTTGCATCAAGTTGATAAAAGTGATATGCCTCGATAATTACTAGTCAGTTTTATCGCCCTTCGTGTAATTGATACAAGAATAGATTCTTTCCAATGCTGAGAAGATTCTTCCTTATTCCAAGTACAAGTAAGGAGTTTATGTATCTCAGATCGTAATGCTGCACCTCTTGCTCGAATAAGTTCTGCTGGAATTTGATCACTACTTCGCCATTTATACCTCAACTTAACAATAGCAACTTCAGTTTCAAAATGACTAGGCTCAGGTACCAGTGGCTCAGCTGTTCATATTTCTGTCTGCCTAACATCACTAACCCTAAGAACGTTCAGTGGCCGAGGGAAGTAATTCTTCCATCTGTTGAAAATGTGGGAATCTGGAAGCCAATCATTCTTACCCTTTACCAGGTTACTTCTAGGATGTAACCCTTATTAAATTCATTTATACCTTTGTGTAAGTCTCTAATATTCTTGCTCTTACTATGTGTTGCAAGCTCGCAAATTTTGTCTTTCAGATAGTCCCTGTTTTTGTTCCTTTAATGTTTACTAGCTTCACATAATACATTGTCCCGATTGTCTCCATTTATTTGGCTTGGATCCTGTAACCATTGCAGTTTGGCTTGTTTTCTTTGATCTCTTAGTTTTTTAAACATCCTTTGTCAAACCATGGCTTATGCTGCTTGAGTTCATAATAACCTAGACTCTCCTTGGCTGACATTTTTATATTTGTTCTAATGGTTTCCGAAGATCTTTTGATATTCGCATCATCGTCTAATTTTTCCAGAGCTCTGAGCCTGTTTGAGATTTTTACCTGATTCTGTTTACCTTCTACCTCATTTAGTTTCTTGAGATTGAATCTCTCCATATCAGACTTTTGCATTGCTCATTTACTTACTGTCAGTCTCTCCCCAACTTTTGAAACTACCAGACAGTGATCAGTATCACAGTCCGCTCCCCTGAAAGATCTGACATCATGACTCTTAAATGCCATTCAAAATATTGTCAATCTGATTGTGTGTCCTTCCATCAGGATATGTCTGAGAGGATTTATGAATGCTATGGTATTGGAACATTGTACTCTTGACAGTTAGATTTTTTGGATGTGGCAAAGTTTATTACTCCAAATCTTTTATCATTACTGATTTGGATACAGTCTCATTCCCAACTGTTTAAAAATGTGTTTTCTACCTAATTTAACATTGAAGTTTCCTAACAAAATGTTCATTTGGTTTTTTTTGAATTGATCAAATACATGCTCTAGTTCCTCATATAAATTATCTTTTGTATCATCAGTTTTATCCTCCATTGGGGTATGCAAATTCAGAACAGTAATTTTGCATCAACAGCCTCTTGGTATTATATATGACATCTTGTCATTAAAACACTCTACCCTCATAACTGCTGATGTGATTCTCATTTCCCTTTCCATAGAAAAATGTTTAATCGCCTGCTGGTGCAGTGCCACCGCTGTCCCATCTTGCTTCCTGTACTCTCACTAAATCTATTTAATACTTTGTAGGATTTGAGGTTTTCGCGGCAGTGAGTCTGAAGATGACTGTCTTCTGGGTAGTTGCAACATGTATTCTGGTAGAAGTTTACCGACGTTTCAGAGTTCCTTGCTGCCTCCATCAACAGGACCTCTGAAACATTGGTAAACTTCTACCAGACTACACGGCGCAACAACCCAGAAGACAGCCATCTTCTAACTTACACCATGCTAATTCTCTTGCAGCTGTTCCCAGTGAACCTGCCCCATACAGACTCCTTACATTTCATGTGCCAAATCTCACGTCCATTTCCCTTCACTTAGTTCGTTGCAAAGCGTCCATCCCAGTCCGAGGCCATGCGTAAGATTTCGCAACAGTTTATTAATTTTGTGATGTGCCCAACTTGCAATCTAGAGGACTGCCCCTTGTCAGCTGTTAGCAACTGCTTATTCAATATATTTGTAACTACCCTCCATGTCTGGAGGCCATCTCCTCCATCTGCAGCCTGAGGATTTGCCATGCTGTGGTGACAAGGGACCCACAATACATGGACACTAAATATGTCGGCATTATGAAACCAGAATCATAATACGGAACTATTGGTAATAATATAATTTGGAAGTGATACAAGTTTAATTGTCTTGGAACATCAATGATGTATGAAAATAAGGCTCATAATGGAATTGACAAAGAATTGATTTGTGAATGCTTTATATTATGCAGTTAGAAGCTTACTATCCAGTCTTCTGTCCAAATCACTAAATATTAAAATATAAAACAATCATTTTAGTAATTTTATATCTGTATGAAGCATCTGTTAATCTCAGCAAAGAACAGATTTTAAGCATCATGCTTTTTGAAGAGTAGATTCTGGATTTGAATCTTGGTTCAGAGGTTGGTTCTCTCTCTCTCTTTTTTATGATTTTACGGGTGCATGTTGCATGCATCTGACATCTCATGGCAAAAGTGCGTCTTCCATCATTTAGCCGTGCTTCTTTGTATTTATGATTGTAAGGAAGCAAGCGTGTGTATAGCATAATAATCCTCATGTCCTACAGTTTCTCATTGCTTAAGGAGTTACCAGGTCTTTAAATATTTTGGCAGGTGTGAAGTGATGAGTGCTTTTTTAGGAAGGCAAGAAGTCCGTGATGTTGCCACATCTGATTCACAGTGTATTTCTGCTGTTATTGCCCGCTTTTGTCATGTTGAGACTTGTATTGTGTGACAAAGAAATTGTTTCAGAAAAAGGGCTGAGAAATTCTCCACTTTTTCCCCTTCCGCGCGTACTTAGCTTCCCCTGATTTCCAATTGATGGGAGGCCAAAGATTGAACACAGTTAAGAAATCCACCAATGTGTTTGTCATTTATTTAAGAGGCTTTGAAGCTTATTCAGTGATAAAATTGTAGTTGGACGGTGATCATAAAGAGAGTGCCAAAACATTTACAAGTACAAAATAAAATTCAGACCCTTAATTTATTGCACAATTCTTTTATTTGATATAGACAGTTGACACATCATTATTAAATAAACCAATAAATAATTTACTGTTACTTAGAAACACAATTCTGAGAACTTTTTTTTTTATTATTATTTTGATTAAATTATTCCATTACTTACAGAAACCCTTAAAATTTTTAGAAGTATAAATCAAACCAAAACCCAGTATCAAAATATACCAGAATTAAAATTTATAAGATTCTTGCCACATCAACACACTTGTGGTAGTGAATCATGGACCATCCAAAGTAATGATAAAAAAAACATTGTCAGCAGAAATGCTTGTCATAAGAAGAACTTTGGGTTACAGACTTTTAGATCACAAAAGAAATGAACTTATGGACATTATGGAAAAGCAACTAAACATTACACCATTAATAGATTTTATAACAGTACTGGAAAAACTGGAAAGAATGTGTGCACAGAATGATTTCAGGAAGGATACGGAAAATTATTTTAGAATGTCACCCAAAAGGAAAGATCAGCCGGTGTAGCTCACTCAATATAGTGACTGGCCATGGACTGGACGACCGGGGATTGCTCCCCAAAGGGGCAGAGATTTTTTCCTCTACCCTCTGCATCCATACTGGCTCTGGGGCAAGCCCAGCCGGGGTCCTTTCCCGGGGTAAAGCATGGCTGGGGCATAATGCTGACCACTCATCCCCATCTAGTGCTTAGGTCAAGAATGAGTAGGAGCTATACATCCTCTCTCCCCGCCTCCTCCCCCCAGGTGCCTACGTGCATATAGTGGGACAGTTTTACTTTACTTTTACCCAAAAGGAAATAGGTGTTTGGGCTGACCCCTCAGAAGATGGAAGGGTCTTGTTATGTACTGCCTGTAACAGGCCATGAGGCCTATACTGGAAAGGAAGCAGTAATTTTAACAGTTGTTTTGTATAGATGTGAAACATGATCCCCTTACATTGAGTGAGGAAACATCACAAACCCATGAAAATATTTTTACCTAAAAGAGGCAATGTGGGTGGGGAACGAAGGTTATTATATAACAAGTTACTTCAGATTTGTTCAGGTCACCTGTTGTTTTTAATGTAGTCAATTCTAGATGATTGTGATTGGCTGTCATATCACTAGGATTGGGGTGACAGAGACTGTATATGTAGTTTTCATGGAAACCCATCTGCAGATTGGTTACTCGTAAGATGAATGTTAAGGAAGCAAGATGGTTGGACGGAACTGGTCCAGTGGTAGGCATTTGTATTAGTGATGCTAAACCATCAGGCTGTACTGTCAGAACATTGGTTTTGTTTAACCTTTATTGGCCGTAGCATACGACCAATCGATCAAACTCAGTCTGGCCAGCACGGTGTTTTAATTCCGAAATTCCTGTTCAGTAAATTTTAATTCTGCGTTATTTGTTACCAGGTGTCACATCAAGCCTGGAGAAATCCTACTGGTACATGGAGCAAGTGGTGCAGTTGGAATCGCAGCTGTACAGATTGCTAAGGCCTACGGCAAGTAAAGGAATTCCACGAACATTAACATTTTAATTTGAGATGTCAGTTGATTTAGTATCATATAAGTGTAATAGTATATCCCTAAAGTTCATTACCGCAAATTCAGAATGCCACGATTATCTTTCTGCTACGAGAAATATATAAATAATGAAGTTCCTCATTATTTTGTTTAAGACTCACAAGGGAGGTCGATGGGCTGTGCCAAGAATCATAATGAGACAAAGATCATGTCTAATGTAGGGCTTCGGAATTGACGGTGATGAATCTTCGTGTTCCGCTACCTGGGATTTAATTCGCTCATCTCATCTTTTTTACTCCAAATTTTGTTGTTGTCATGTTGTTATCATTCGCTGCTATGGTACAGCCTTTCCGCTATGCACGGTTGCTGTGAGTCAGTGGCAGTGGTAAGAGGAACTGGTATTTTACCTTCTTTCAAGATTTTGATAATATGGTGCATGTGTTTCCCTTGGTTCCTTCAGTCAGATGCTGATACAGTATTGTAATAAATGATAACAAATAATAATTGATAGCTAAGAGATTGAAACTTAAAAGTTTGAAATTGACAGTGTTAATGAAGAATACTTTTGTGCATTATGATTTCCTTGCGTTTCATGAAACATTTTATTCATACGGATACTACCATTCATTATCGTATTCCAGAAATGTTGGGCTGGAATGAATTTAAAATCGGTGTTTTATGACTGACTGAACTGTCCTATTAGGTCTGATCGTTGCTGGTACTGCCGGTACCATAGAAGGAATGGAATTGGTGAAGAAAGTGGGAGCTGATCATGTCTTTAACCATAGAGAAAAGGGTTACTTGAACAATGCGGTAGCTGCGATCGGTGGTCACGGGTTTAATGTGGTTCTTGAAAATTTGGCAAACATAAATCTTGGAGCGGATCTAACGGTGCTGAATCAACAAGCACGAGTCGCTGTAAGTTACATGAAACTGTTACATTTTACTCTGTTGCTACATACAAAGAGACCCCCAGTAGTTTCATTTTTTAAGAACCAGCACTGAATGTCATGGCTCAGTGGTTAGCACTCTTGCTAACTCTTCGGGTGGTCACGAGAGGTTTCTCATGGTTTTCTTCTGTTCCTCCAGGTGTGTGCCAGAACGGTATTGTAAATTAAGCAATGATTGCTTCTTTCCATATCCTTTCTAATATATTATGCATCCTCTTATTCAATCCTATATAATCCGATCTGCTGGCAGGTTGTTAAATAAACAACAAATAAATAAACGAACTTGTTTCTCGTAGATCTGGGTGCACAGTTTTGCATACATATCAAAACGTTCACTTACTGCCAAAGTTTAGATTCGAATAGTATAAGAGGCTCTTACTTATTTTTGAGTAATTGAGTTTTATACCTGTAAAAAAACATGTTTTCAACAAAAATTATGAAATTTCTTGTGGCCATCAGTATTGTGCGCGCGTCATATTGTGTTTGACGACGTGGTCATTAAGGTCGAGGTGAAGCAGTCAATTGTGCTTTACTAAACACAATGTCTTTGCAAACATGTGGGGTGTAGATGTATATTTCTGCACATTCTTAATGTCTGGATTCTACAGGAGCAAGTGGTTAACTTTATATTCCAGCTGATTTACTTCCAAGGAAAGAACCCCTGTGCCTATTAGATAAGAGGAGGCTGGGTGGATCCCAGATCTGTTTGAACATTGTAACAAAGAGAAAAATCCTGCCATGCTGGGAACCAAACCCCATTAACCCAGTTTGTAATATGATCACTAATCTTGACTGTATCCAAGCTCCCTTCTTATGTATAAATACATATGGCTTTTACCTCTGGACTTATTTAATATGTATGTTGAAGTATTGTACATATAATGAATGAAATTGTGTGGTATATTTCAAATACAGGCATACCTCGGAGATATTGCGGGTTCTGTTCCAGACCACCGCAATAAAGCGAGTCACATGAACTTTTTGGTTTACCAGTGCATATAAAAGTAATGTTTACTCTATACTGTGGTCTATTAAGTCTAAAAACAACGCGAGAATTACCGAAATGTGACGCAGAGACACGAAGTGAGCGGGTGATGTTGGCAAAATGGCGCCGATGGACTTGCTCGACGCAGGGTTGCCACAAACCTTCGATTTGTAAAAAAAGCGCAATATCTGCGAAGCGCGTTGAAACGAGGTGTGCCTATACAGTGTTTGCTGTAATGCAAAATTAATACCATTAATTTAAATACATTCTTGGCGAATGTGAAATTTTTTCAGGCATTGAAATATGTCCTTCCCAGGATCTTCTATGCTAGTACTTTCAACATAAGCTGTGTTTTATTCCAGGTGGTTGGATGTCGAGGTACTGTAGAAGTGAATCCACGTTCGCTTATGTTAACAGAAGGAAGCATAATTGGCGTCATGCTTGCTGGTGCAACTAAGGTCAGTTATTCCTGTAATAAATAACATTTCATGATCATAAATATGGATTAATGATTTCTTCATGAATTTATGAAAATATGTTTCATCAGAAATATTTTAAATGCCACCTGTCTGCTCAACTTTTTGCTAAAGGTTCAACATTTTCTCTGAAAACCAGGTGTACCATATGACGTTAAGAAAAGCTGGCATGAATATGACTGTCTTTTGGGGTGTTACCATGTAGTACCATAAAAAGTGGCTACCATTTTAGAGGTGCTTATTGCCTTCATTGTCAGAAAGATGATGATGATGATGGTAAAGTCAGTCGTCATCTTCCTGCTTGCTACCAACCTGAGAACCTGAAATCACACAACAGATAATGTATTTGTTTTGTTTAAATTTTTAGGATATTTATTAAACTTTATTGTGTTCCATAACACAATTTAATGAAATGCTGTATAAATAATAAGTTTTAAACAAAGTAAAACATGAATCATCAGATCACCATAGAAATGCTTTAACTTCGGAATTCAGTCTTAACACATTTCTTTGGCACAGCACAGTTTCTTGTTTGTTTGAAGAAGAAGAATGGAATACTTAAAATACAAGGGAATTTATATTTTTCTGATCATTTTTGTAACAGAAACTATTATTTGAATATGCAGTTAAATATTGTTTAAATTAAAAGTTCCTTGGATATTTTCCATCATCTAGTAAAATAATACAATAGAATGTTGTTCTATTTTATTATTTTACTAGATGATGGAAAATATCGAAGGAACTTTTTATTTAAATAGCTCACCATCGTCACGAACTTTAGGATTTGAAATAAATATTGTTTGTTGACCAATGACAGTGATTTCTATGTAGAACTACTACAGGTCAGGCATGTTTAAAGATAAAGATTACGAGTATTTGAGAACAAAATCTTTTAAGTAGATTTAAAAAAAACTTCAGTGTTCCATCACTCATTGATAGCTAAATTTTGTAACAAGCAAGGTATGAAATGAGGTGATGGAATATTACAGTGCATTTTTAATGTAGTATTAGTAGTAGAGCAGAATTGCAGTAATCTGCAAGGAAATAAGAAACGCATATGAAGACGATAGAAGTTGATTATGGCTCTCTTCTGGGTTATTGCATCATGTAGTATGGTAGGAGTTTATTTATATTTCAGAGGTGCTTGCTGCCTCCATTATCAAGCACATCTGAAATGTATAATTAGAGGTTTTCACAGCGGAGTATGAAGATTTGCCCTGATGACGGAGGCAGTATGACCTCTGAAACGTTGGTTAACATCGACCAGACTACACAGCGCAACAACCCAGAAGACAGGAATCTTCATCTCTGAAATGTCGGCACACTTCTGTCATGCTACGTGGCGCAACCTGAAATTTCACTCATTAGACAGTGTTTCATTCTGCGTTGTTGCGTGTGTTTGTTCTAGGAGGAGACTCAAGAGACTGCAGAAGTGATTTTAAAGGGGATAGAGTCTGGTTGGGTAAATCCAGTGATTGCACGAGAATACACGCTAGACGAAGCTGCGGAAGCTCACCATGATATCATTCACAATATTGGAGCCAGAGGAAAGCTAGTCTTCAAGCTGTAACCGGGCAAGCCCAGGATCGGCTGCACGTACAGGTAATGAACTCTGATGCTTTAACCTTTAAGCTGCACAGGATTTCTCTAGGGGGATATCAGAATTTTAATGGAAGTTAGAGGAAAGGTATTGGTAAGACTAAGAATGATCATTCATCAAATAAATGGTATTTTAATATAAGTAAAGCAGAGAGTGACCTGCTTAGTGTTAACAGTTACATTTATAATTAGGAAAGTAAATATTTATAAATTTATTTTACTCTTCTGCTTGTAACGAAAGATACGCATTTAGAATATTTTTAAAGCTGCACTTTCATGTAATAATCTGAGAGGGAATTCTTGCCCATGCTTAAAGTTGATGGCACTTTATGCTTATGTTCTTAATGACCCATGAAGTCGTTTTCTGTTTAGTTTAAAAATTCAGTGACGTAAGAACCCGTCTCGGCTGTTCGTGTAGAAAAATGCACAGTAATCCAGCAGTCTGTCACATTTATATGATTATTGACTGGAAGAGAAACATTTCAAATTTACTCGTGAGAGCGTGCGGAAGGCCTCTTGTTGGGTCCGTGTATGCGCTGGTGATCAGACCAGTTTGACGTATTTCACGAAACATACCATGAAGATAATCAGTGGACTTGAGTTCTTCATTAACTTTTTTAACCCGTTGAAGCCTAATTGTGTCTAGATAATATTTAAGAATTTATTCGAAGTACCGATAAGAAAACACGACACTGTTACAAAGATCGACTGGTTAATGGTGCTTAAGGAAATAATCACCCTTTATACTGAAAACCATACAAGTGGTGCATGTAGATCCCACTTTGGCTTCTAAGGTTTAATTTTCAGAACCTCCTGTAAAGTAAAGGACAGCGCTGCTGTTTTTGGTCCAAGATGGTAGATCTTACTGTGAGGCTGGTTAGTGTGACTTCAGAAATTTTTTATCCTTTGTAATCTGTTTTATTATTTTATTGTTTGTGATATATTGGGTGGGAGACTTTGTCTCTGTGGAACTGTGGTCACTCATGAGCCCATCACCCAGATGATATACGAGTGAATTTTGAACGACACTGGAATAATACTGAAACGAGAAAATTTAAGGACTGAGAGGAAAACCTGTCTCAGTGCTACTTTGTCCACCAAAAATCTAACATGGACTGCCCTGGGAGTGAACCCAGGAATCCACAGTCAGAAGCCAGTAGTGATGAATGACCTGTTCTATGATGGGGACACCTTTGTCTTTTGGATAATTGTCACTGTCATTCCGTATAAATATTCGGTTATTTCTTGGTCGAAGTAATTATTGAGACAGTGAACTATATAGTAAGAATAGATTTGTTCCGTGCCATTGTGACTCAAGGATGTGTAGCCCTCTAGAACGTGAAATTTAAGCTGTGAATAGTATCACTTTAAAAAAACTTATAACTTAAACATGCTATGTTATTATGTTTATGTTATAACTTCCATGGTAATAAAACTCCTACTACTCGGCAACTGCGTGGGATTGTCCCAGAAATAATTGCTGAATCCACCACATGCCAAACACTCAGATGTGCTTGCAATGTTGCCGAACGGCAGCCCGTTTACAGGATGTACCATTTAAAATGCAACCCAAAACCAATTGCGTACCACAGTATAAAAGTGATATCAAAAGCAGGTCTACCCAAACTTAAAATTATTCATTGTCAGGACGTTTCGGAGGCTGGTTCTGTCTCTATCTTCAGGTGAGAAGTACCTAGAGCTAGTCTCTGTCACGTGGGTTTCTAAAGAAAAAACAGTGCAAATAATTTTGAGTGTCATCTACCGTCGTCAGAACCCTTTAGAATTGAAGCTCCACCCCTAGCGTACTGTGCGACACACAAGCCAAGGTCATTTGTCTTATGTTGATGCTGCCCACACCATTTGCATAAAATTGATCAGACAATTAGTAAACTGACCTTTTTTGTTCTTTTAATCCTTTATAGCCTAGTGGTAACTATATGTACCACCTGCTTTAACAGTCAGTAATGTTGAATTTTGTAATTATGTGTTTCGTACGATTCTCAGTGTGTACAGGGATAATTTCTTCGAGCAGCGTTAACCGGTTGATCTTTGTAATGGTGAAGTGTCGCGTTTTCTTTGCAGTTCAGACTGGATTTTTAAATATCATTCAGACGGGCTTTGGTTTCAAAGTTAACTAACCAGAATGACTTAATTCATATTATACTTGTTACTGATAATGAAATTCTGGATTGCAAGTGTGCTGTAAATTCCCATAAAAGGTCAGGCACTTGTTATAAGACCACATATAAAGTGTTATTAAAATGCTGTTTTATATTTCATTGTTTCGTTAAAATTATTTTGCAAGTAGTGCGGACATGATTCAGAATTGTTTTGTTGCATAGATATTAATCAGTTGTTGTATTTCAGTAGTACCTGGTTTGAATCTTGTGCTTTTTCTCGGACATTCGATTTCTCTTTATGGTATGCTCAACTGTATTTTTCTTCATACTAACTAACCCAAAAGTTCAACACCACTAATACAGAAGCCCACCATTTAGCATGATAACGAGCCACTTCATCCACCTCCTATCCTCATAGCCTAGTTCCTTAAGATCTATCATAAAGTCTCAGTGGCCGCGAGGGCCTTGTATTGCTTGGTCGCTGGGACCTTGGGTTCGAATCCCACTTAAGCCACGGATGTTTGTCCGCGTCTTTCTGTGTTGTGCTGTCCTGCGCACAGGTAGAGGCCTTGCGACGGGCCGATCCCTCGTCCAAGGAGTCCTACCGAATGTTTAATAGATCAAAGCCAACGAAAAGTTGGGACCCGCAGTGCTCAGGCACTCGTCAAAGTATCAAAGTTAAGTGTATCATAAAGTTATCTCCCCACCTACTTGGTCTTCCAAACGTTTAATTACGTTTCTCATGAATAGCCCGTTGCCTCATTATGACGATACTATAAAATATTTATCTGGTTAAATTCTTCAACTTTTGTGTGTAACGTGTAACGTTGCAGCGTGGTAGTTGGAAATATTATGAAAATACTATTTTGCGCTTGTAAGCTAATTGTAATACACAGATTTGTGAGGAAGCTCGGAAACATCCCGTGAGATGTGTCAGATTATATTCTATTAGTTCCTCACGATGGTAGCAAAGTGGTCGTCCAAAACGTGGTCCAGTTTGGTGTAGTTCTGTTTCGAGTTCCCCCCCGCCCCGCCGTCACTGCGACCACCCAGTCATTTCTTATGTCCCTTTACTATAAGGCATTAGGTACTTATCATTTCTCCAGATATTTCTTATTGCCTTATTATTATTTTTTTATATCTTAATTGCGTCATGTTTGTGTTTTATGGAATCCAAATTCACTTATTGAGATAAAAGTTTTATTTTCACTTTAATAATACTGTATTCCATTTTCAGATTAGCATTATCCTGCACGCAATACGTCTGATTTGCTTAATGTTCAGATCAGTATGAAATTGAAGAACGTAAGAAGGGTTTAGTTTCCCGTTATTTTGGTGACGTTTCATTGGTTTTCTGAAGTACGCAAGAAAGGTACATACTGTTTTGAACATTTTAACATAAGGACACGCGACGCATAAAAGCACCACAATGAGTAATTGTACAGGCTATCGCGCATAAAGTACGCCAAGACTTCGGTAATCCATCACCAGATCATTCGTCCAGCCTCGCTTTATGTCTTCTTGCAAGCGTTTCGATTAACAAAATTCACGCGGCAGACAACGCGGAAAATCCGATACTGGCCGAACGTTGCTGTTTTCAGTCAATAAACTGCATCCGGCAGACTCCCTAATCTGGATGTGTGCGAGTTTTATCCGAAGGGTGGGGAATATCAAGCCAGAAATCTACATAAATTATTCAGATTCTGGAGGCCTTGCAAATTGAAATTATAATTTGTTAGAATTTGTCACGTCGGCGCGAAATCGTACGCTTGAATGTTCGAGGACCTCACATTCAGTGATCAATGTAATTTCAGGTAAGTATAACGACGTAATTCATAACACTTCTCAAACACTGACGGAATCTCCGATCATACTGTTCAGCCGCGTGCATCCATTGTCTTATCTGAGAGAAGATGGCCACTGGATGGTGTCTTGCAGTGATGAGGCGATACACGAAAGAACGAACCTCCTTGTACGCACTGCGAAAAAACAGACCAAGCTTACAAACTGTACTGTGAGTCAGAACATTTCCTTTAAGTGTCAAATTTGTATGAAAATTTAGTAAACCCAAATAGTGAAAGATCTGAAAAATAAATAGTTAACATACACACAGACAAATGGAATAATTTACGGATACTCTGATAGAATAACATTAAGGAATACACATTCAAAATGACGTAAGACATCAGCCGAACCAGACGCGCGTATGGGACGGCACATCACAGAAGCAGCTAAAATGAAGACATTAAGACATTTAGCAGGACGAAAAGCGACTATTTGGACATCCCTGATTGACACAAAAAAAATAATACAATATTTTTATTTTCCGTCTATACACAAACTTAAAATAATGTTGTTTAAAATTATTTAAAATTATAACATTCTCAGTAGACACTGCATCTTGTTACATTTTTTGTATCGACGACATGTTTCAATGTGTATCACATCATCATCAGGTCTATCAATTTTAAAAACTGTTGTACATCTTGCGTTGCGTTTGTTGATTATTTTAATTTGTTTAATTTTAAGTTTTTTGTCTCTTCCTTTTGATTTGGAGGTTGTACTTGGATGTTTTATATCGGGTTGTAATTGATGTGTTCTGTGTCCGATATTAAGAGACGGTAAACTGCCTTAAAATTAAACAAATTAAAATAATCAACAAACGCAACGCAAGATGTACAACAGTTTCTAAAATATATTAAAATTGATAGACCTGATGATGATGTGATACACATTGAAACATGTCATCGATACAAAAAATGTAACAAGATGCAGTGTCTACTGAGAATGTTATAATTTTAAATAATTTTAAACAACATTATTTTAAGTTTGTGTATAGACGGAAAATAAAAATATTGTATTATTTTTTTTGTGTCAATCAGGGATGTCCAAATAGTCGCTTTTCGTCCTGCTAAATGTCTTAATGTCTTCATTTTAGCTGCTTCTGTGATGTGCCGTCCCATACGCGCGTCTGGTTCGGCTGATGTCTTACGTCATTTTGAATGTGTATTCCTTAATGTTATTCTATCAGAGTATCCGTAAATTATTCCATTTGTCTGTGTGTATGTTAACTATTTATTTTTCAGATCTTTCACTATTTGGGTTTACTAAATTTTCATACAAATTTGACACTTAAAGGAAATGTTCTGACTCACAGTACAGTTTGTAAGCTTGGTCTGTTTTTTCGCAGTGCGTACAAGGAGGTTCGTTCTTTCGTGTATCGCCTCATCACTGCAAGACACCATCCAGTGGCCATCTTCTCTCAGATAAGACAATGGATGCACGCGGCTGAACAGTATGATCGGAGATTCCGTCAGTGTTTGAGAAGTGTTATGAATTACGTCGTTATACTTACCTGAAATTACATTGATCACTGAATGTGAGGTCCTCGAACATTCAAGCGTACGATTTCGCGCCGACGTGACAAATTCTAACAAATTATAATTTCAATTTGCAAGGCCTCCAGAATCTGAATAATTTATGTAGATTTCTGGCTTGATATTCCCCACCCTTCGGATAAAACTCGCACACATCCAGATTAGGGAGTCTGCCGGATGCAGTTTATTGACTGAAAACAGCAACGTTCGGCCAGTATCGGATTTTCCGCGTTGTCTGCCGCGTGAATTTTGTTAATCGAAACGCTTGCAAGAAGACATAAAGCGAGGCTGGACGAATGATCTGGTGATGGATTACCGAAGTCTTGGCGTACTTTATGCGCGATAGCCTGTACAATTACTCATTGTGGTGCTTTTATGCGTCGCGTGTCCTTATGTTAAAATGTTCAAAACAGTATGTACCTTTCTTGCGTACTTCAGAAAACCAATGAAACGTCACCAAAATAACGGGAAACTAAACCCTTCTTACGTTCTTCAATTTCATACTGATCTGAACATTAAGCAAATCAGACGTATTGCGTGCAGGATAATGCTAATCTGAAAATGGAATACAGTATTATTAAAGTGAAAATAAAACTTTTATCTCAATAAGTGAATT